ACTGCGGCTCTCTAGGACCGAACTTGCCTACCCCTGACCTAGTATTAGCATAAACTCGTAGAGTCCAATCTCGATATGAAATGTCGACTTAAACTCCAACCCGCCCTAACATATTGGATAGGATTGGATAACCCCGCATAAGCAGTCTTCCCTAGTCAGTTTTATCCCTTAAGACAGTGTTTCCCAACCCTGTTCCTGGAGGCACTCCAACAGTACACATTTTTACACACTTGCTAAATCAAATACACCTGATTAAACTCATCAGCTCATTAGTACTGCAAAAAGTGATGGTGTTGGTACTGTTGGTGTGCCTCCATACATGGTGTGTTAGGAAATACTGCTGTCATGGTGGAACATCAGTTTAAAGAGTATACTGCTGAATGTTATTTTAATTTTAAAACCAACTTTTTGATGGTAATTATCGCCCCCTTGAGTACTGAGGTTTGTTACAGCCACAGTAACACGAACGCACATTGCATATGTACAGCAGGACCGCACAAGCATTCTGACTGGTGTAGAATATGTTTCTGGCCTAACTTAATGAGTACAGCATTTGAAGTTGCACTGAAATTGATGAAAGGGAGAATAATCTTTTAGCAATATGTTTTTAACCACTCTGTATCAATAAATGTCATTAATAATTTCACATCAAGACAACATTCAAATCAGTCCTCAGTTGTGATCACTGGTGCACAGCAGGAAAATTTGCCTGATCCACATATAATCCTAAAAGTGAAAAAAAAAACCTACTGGGTGGGGATTCCAAATGCAAAAGTAAAATTATTTTGTATAACTTTCTGGACTCCTATCAAAGTTGTACTGTATTTGCCACCACGGTTATTACAGGGTTCAATGATATCAAGCATGATCTATACACAGGGTCACATTGGAGAAGAAATTTACAAACTACCAGAATCATTAACAAGTCTGCCAAATCAAGGAGGACAGAAATCTAACAGGAATAAATGTGAAATGACAAAGATCAGATTGTTTTCCCTCTTTTTCTTTCTCCAAACTATTTTACTGTATTTATTACTGTCGAACACAGGTCTTGTGACACAAAACCCTCTCAATTAGCTCTAAATGGAGACAGCATGGTACAATTGAATTCAATAGATTATATGGACAGCACTGGTCATGCAGACACCAAAGCATTATACACGTGATATGCAACTCGAGAGGTTCGCTTTTCGGATAAAGAACAGTCCAACAAACAGTGCTTTTGTCTGAGGAGATGCCTTTTGTAAAGAATATTCTCAAACATAAACTGGGCTTTTATACTCTTTCATAATTTAACAACCATAAATAATAGAGTTGTAGCTCAATGTATTTTTAAGATTTGTAGCTCAATGCATTGTCATCATATTTTGAGATAGCACTGATTCTGGATGCTTCTTGGCTAACTCTCACCCATCTAAAATTGGAGCATCCCTGATGAACAGAATGCTTGGAAGAGGAAGTATGATAAATCATCTAGCTAAGCCCTATTACTGCTGATGTCAGTGTAGAATGTATGGTGCCTAGAGATACAATATATCAAAATTGCAAGTTCTAGAAGAGGTGTTTGCCCTTTCTACAGATTAGAAACTATAAATATAATCATGGAGAAGTGGTGAATTCATTAAGATGTATACTAGGACGCACC